AGAAGCAGCAGCAGCAGAAGCAGCAGCACAAGCAACAGGAGTAGCAGCAAAATATGAGCAAAAACAACAATACTAACATAATCCCAGCAGCAACAACCAGGTCTGCAGCAGCAGCAGCAACAGCAGCAACACACGCTGCAGCAACAAGCACAACGAAAGCAAAGAAAACCTCCAGCAGCAGCACCACCACCACCATCAGCAGTACCAGCAGCAGCAGCAGCAGCAGCAGCAGCAGCAGCAGAAGGATGCTGACTTCGGAAGAGTTGATGGCGATGTTGAGGCTGAGCACTCGAATTAGGTGCAGCACTGCATGCACGATAACATAAACAACAACCCCCAGGTACAGCAGCAGCAGCCGCAGCCAAACGCTTCGAGGAGACAGCAAAGCAGCAAAATCTAATCCACACTTTGCTGCGCTGCACCTCCGCCCTGCTGCTGCTGCTGATGATGATGATGATACTGCTGCTGATGATGCTCCTCCTGCTGCTGCTGCTGCTGTTTGTGCTGCTGTTGCTGCTGTTGCTGCAGCAGATGCCCCAGCGCTCTTACAGATATCCACGTCGTTTGCACCCATTGCGCGAGATATGTTTTTCTGCTGCTGCTTGTGCTTGTGCTGCTGCTTGTGGTGCTGCTGGTGCTGCTGGTGCTGCTGGTGCTTGGCGTTAGCTGCTGCTGCTGCTCGCAGCAAGTTTGCTGCCTCTCTCATAAGTTCGTCTACTGCATCTCTACCGAAGCTCCTCCAAAGCTTCTCAACAACTTCTAGCATATTAAAGATAACATATAGCTTCATAAATGGTTGCGCCCGTATAGAGTGATAAAGAACTGAGCTGTCTATACACCTGAACAGCAATGCACAAACAACAAAAATTGAGAAGCGAACAAAGGCACATACATCGGGGACGGTAAACTCTAGCCAGCCGCTGCCCACAACCTCTGGGTAATCATCTTCATCTTCATCTTCATCCTCCTCCTCTTGCTGCTGCTGCTGCTGCTGCTGCTGCTGCTGAGGCTGCTGCTGAGGCTGCTGAGGCTGCTGAGGCTGCTGCCGGGCGGGCAGGCTGTCGCCTGGAGACGAGCGCCACTGCTCTTCGCTGCGACGGGGGCTTCTCCCCGATGCTGCTGCTGTTGTTGCTGCTGTTGTTACTGCTGTGGTTGCTGCTGTTGTTGCTGCTGTTGCTGCTGTTGCTGCTGTTGCTGCTGTCGCAGGTGTTGGTAGAGAAGAAATCTTAGGGCCTGGGAACAGAGGCGCTGTGCTGCAGAGAGGCGGCGTAAAGGCTTTTGGTGCTGCTGCTTTTGCTGCTGCTGCTGCTGTTGCTGCTGCTACTGCTGCTGCTGCTATATCTGTCTGTGTTCGCGGCAGCAACGGCCACGAGCTGCTTTCACCTCCAGCCCTTGAGGCCCCCGTTCGCCTACCCGCAGCAGCAGCAGCAGCAGCAGCACCAGCAGCAGCAGCTGCTGCTGCTGCAGCAGCAGCTGCCGCAGAGCCGTGGAGAGGAGGCGAGGCTAATGCAATACTGGCTGCCCTAAACCGATATTGCTGCTGCGGGGCCCCACAGTTTGCTGCTGGAGAGCAGCAGCGGTCGAGAGGGAAAGAACAAGAAGCACTCCTTCGGCGACCTGCTGCTGCTGCTGCTGCTGTTGTTGCTGCTGCTGCAGCAGTTTGAGACAACAGCTGCTGCTGCCGTTTCTGCGGTAGAACGTTGTGCAGCCTCCAAGGCAGCAAACGAGTGAGAGTAATGCTGAGCTTCCTGCTCCAGCGCCCCAACGAGAGTACAGCAGCAGCACGCGAGCTGCCTGCAGCGGCATTAGAGTTACTTCATATAAAAGAGAGTCAAGACAAAGCATACAACCAAAATATATTAGGCCCTCAAAACGATAAGGGATACGCATAAGGCTGCGCAGCTGAGTTGCAGGTATAGATGTTTGTTTCTTCTTCTGCTGCTTCTTCTTCTGCTGCTGCTGCTGCTGCTGCTGAGCAGAAGAAGGGGGAGGATCTGAACACGCAGAAGACCCGAGACCTGTTGTTGCTGCTGCTCCTGCTCCTGCTGCTGCTGCTGCTGCTGCTGCTGCTGCTGCAGAGGCTCGCTTGGAAGGAAGAAATTGTGATAAGCCAAAACGCCGGCGAAGGCTAATATATGGATCGTTCATTTGCTGCTGCTGCTGCTGCTGCTGCTGCTGTTGCTGCTGCTGCTGCTGCTGCTGTCGCATTTCTTGTTGCAGCTGTTGCTGCAGCGTTTGCCGATTCACTATTGGCATTTGCTGCAGCTGCAACGCCCGTTGTTGTTGTTGTTGCTGCTGCTGCTGCTGTTGCTGCTGCTGCTGCTGCTCTGGCGGCAGCCAGTAAAACGCTGTGGGGTTCATCTGGGCCCGCGCTGGGGCCTCATCGCTGCACTGCCTTTTAGAAGCATCTGCTGCAGCAGCTGCAGCAGGTGCAGCAGCAGCAGGCGTTGCAGCAACTGCAGCTGCCGTGACGGAACCTGTTGCTGCTGCTGCTGCTGCTGCTGCTGCTGCTACTGTGGGCTCAGAAGCGTCCACTACGCTGTACATGCTGCTGGCTCGGCTGACGCCGTAGATGCTGCGGTATGTACCTGCTGCAGCACGTTGCTGCTGCAGCTGCTGCTGCACCAGGAGATGCAGCTGCTGCTGTTGCTGCTGCTGCTGCTGCTGCTCGTTAGTGATGGGGGCCCCTGTCAGCAGCACAGGAAGTGCATCCGACTGGGGGGCCCCAAGAGGCCATTTGGTATCCGCCTGTGGGCCCCTCTCAACCTTTGTTGCTGCTGCTGCTGCTGCTGCTGGTGCTGCTGTTGCTGCAGCTGGGGTTGCTCCACTAACCGAATTTGCTGCTGCTGCTGCTGCTGCAGCTGCTGCTGCTGCTGCTGCGGGGCGGATGCGGCGACTTGAGACTTCGTCGAGTATGAAGGCCAGCAGATCCCAATAAGAGGCTTCGCTTTTGCTGCTGCTGCTGCTGTTGCTGCTGTTGCTGCTGCTGCTGCTAGTGCTCTTGCTGCTGCTGCTGCTGCTGCTGAGAATGGGCATGGAGCGCGAGGGGCTTCGGGGCCAACAGAAGAAGCGGCTGATGCTTTGCGTTTGTTGTTGTTGTTGCTGCTGCTGCTGCTTGTGCTGCTGCTGCTGATGCAGTAGGTCTTCTGCAGCAGTTGCTGCTGCTGAGCCTTCTCTTGCTCGAGCTGACGAGACATCAGCAAACATCACAGGGCTTTCTTGCTGCAGCAGCGTTTGCTGCGGTGGCAGCTGCCTGTTGAGCTTAAAGGCGGTCGCGAGCTGTTGCTGTTGCTGCTGCTGCTGCTGCGGTTGCTGCTGCTGCTGCTGTTTCATCCGCCTATGACTGAACACCTCAAAGACTGCTGTCTCAATTCTTTGATGTGGAGCCAGCTGTTGCTGCCGCTGCTGCTGCTGCTGCTGCTGCTGCGAGTGGAAGAGCGGGGCCCCACCAGTTGGAGTAGAGCACATAGGGGTGTGCATGCAGCTGCTGCTGCTGTGTGTCGGTGCAGGCGAGACGAAGCCAGCAGCAGCAGCAGCAGCAGCTGATGCAGCATCTGCTGCTGCTGCTGCTTCAACCCCCGGGCTCGCAGCAGCACTTCCTCCTGCTCTGCTGCTCAAGGGGGTATAGCAAGCGCTGCTGCTGTCAGCCCCTGCAGTGTCTATACACCCCAACAGAGGTGCAGGGTGTCGCAGCTGCAGCGGCAGCGGCAGCAGCGAAGCCCCATCTGCAACTGCTGCAAGATTTCGCGCTGCAGCAGCACCAGTTGCAGCAGCAGCAGGCGTTGGTGTTGCTGCTGCTGCTGCTGCTGCTGCTGCTGGAAGCCCCATAGGTGAATCCATTTGCTCTGCATCCCCCCAACAGCTCTCTAGAGAAGGTGCAGCGGCAACATCGTGCCGCTGCTGCTGCTGCTTCTGCTGCTGCAGTTGCTGCTGCTTCTGCAGTTGCTGCTGCTGCTGCAGTTGCTGCTGCCCAATCTCTCCTCTCTCCTTTTGCACCGTTTGCGTTTGTGGAGGTGGCAGCTGCAGAGAGGGTCTTGCGATTGCATGTGCTGCTGCTGCTGCTGTTGCTGCTGGTTCTGCTGCTGCAGCTGCTGCTGTCTCCGGCTCTGCAGCAACAGAAGCAGCGGGAGACAGCCAGGGTGTCGGCAGGGAGCTCCTTGTCTCCACTGCAAGCTGGCGACGATTGCTGCTGCTGCTGCTGCTGCTGCTGCTGCTGCTGCTCCTCGGTGAGCTCTGAGCAACCTTCCACGTAGCCTGAGGCTCAGGGCTGTCTGCAATTGCTGCTGCAGTTGCTGCTGCAGTTGCTGCTGCAGTTGCTGGTGCTGCAGTTGCTGCTGCTGCTAGCGGTGTTTCTGTTGCTAGTGTAGAGGCCTCTGCAGCAGGAAGAGACAGAGTCGTTTGGGGTGTATGTACAACATTGCTGCAGCGAAGTATAGGGCTTCTGCTTAAGCCATACCTGCTGCTGGAGAAAGAAGCTCCCGAGTGCAGCAGCAGCAGCAGCCGCTGTTGCTGCTGCTGCTCCTTCTCAGTGAAGCCTTCATCGCAAGACATGCAGCGCCGTGCTGCTCCAGCAGCAGCAGGATGGCGTTGCTGCTGCATGTGGCTTCCGCCTTCGTAGGATGCACTTCCCACCTGCTGCTGCTGCTGCAGCTGCTGCAGCTGCAGATGCTGCTGCAGCAGCAAACGGCACCGCACTGGCAATGAAGGACGCCGAGACCTGCGGCAGGCGCTGCTAGCGTGGTGGGCGCTCCCGTGCAGCAGCTGAGGGGGCCCCTTGAGTCGAGTTGCTGCTGCTGCTGCTGCTGCTGCTGCTGCTGCTGCTGCTCCCGTCCCTCCTGCTGCTGTTGCGTCTGTTGCTGCTTCAGGCCAGCGAGAACTAAACGAAGACAGCTCCTGCAACCGAGACTGCTGCTGCTGATGCCGTTGCCGCTGCTGCTGCTGCTGCTGCTGTTTCTGTTGTTGCTGCTGCTGCTGCTCTTGTTGCTGCTGCTGCGGGTGCTGCTGTCCAGAGGCAGTCAGCGAGTTGAAAACTAAATGGAGACCCTCTCTTTGTGCAGCATTACTAGGGAGCTCAGCTTGCTGCTGCTGATGCTGCTGCTGCTGTCTCTTATGCTGTTCGTGCTGCAGCATCTGAAGGTGCTGCTGCTGCTGCTGCAGCAACTGCTGCTGCTGCAGAAACTGTTCCGGCAGCAGCAGCTTCTGTGGCTGCGCTGCAGCAACATCTTGATCCTGATTTGCTTGTGAGCTCTCGACAGGAGACGAGCGCTGCCGCTGCTGCTGCTGCTGCTGCTGCTGCTTCTGGCGTTGCTGCTGCTGCTGCTGCTGCAGATATACATCAGAGGAAGCTCTTAGCAGGGGAGGCTGCTGCGCGGCGTTGCTGCTGGCTGCCCGTCTGAGGCATTCTAGGAGATCTCCTGTTTGTTCTGCTGCTGCTGCAGTTGCTGCTTTATCGCTGCTGCTGCTAGGGCTGCTGCAGCAAGCAGCAGCAACGGGGCTGCAGCAGCAACTCGCCTCAGTACGCTGTAAGCAATCGGGAGCAGAGTAATACGAGTAGAGAGACCCTGCATCATCATCTGCTGCTGCGTCTTCTTCTCCTTCTGCCGCTGCTGCTGGTGTTGCTGCTGCTGGTGTTGCTGCTGCTGCTGGTGTTGCTGCTGCTGCTGGTGTTGCTGCTGCTGCTGTTGTTGCTGCTGCTGCTGCTGATGCCCCTTCGTCATGCTGGTGCAGCTCCCACTGAGACTGCTGCAGCATAGCCTGCTGCTCCTGTTGCTGCTGCAGCTTGGCAGCCCGTTTGCTGCTACTGCTGCTGCTGCTGCTGCTGCTGCTGCTGTTGCTGTTGATGCTGCTGCTGTCCTCTGACGCCCTGCTGCATGCAGGGAGGGCCCCCTCAGCATCTTCTGACTCAACTTTTGCTACCATCGACAGCCTCCTGTTGCTACTGCTGCTGCTGCCGCTGTTGCTGTTGCTCTTGCTGCTGCTGCTGCTGCTTTTGCTGCTGTTGTTGCTGCTGTTGCTCCTATCATTATCTCTGTAGGGGCTGTCCGGGAAACTCATAGACTTAAGTTTGCTGCTGGTGCTGCTGGTGCTGCCGCAGCTGCTGCAGCTGCTGCCGCTGCTGCTGATGCTTCTCCTGCTGCTGCGGCAGCTGTTGCCTTTACAATGCCAGCTGCTGCTGTTGCTGTTGCTGCACCTGCTGCTGCTAATGCTTCTCCTGCTGCTGCTAACGCTGCTGCGGCTGCTGTGGTAGCGGTTGCCTTTACAATTCCAGCTGTTGCTCCTGCTGGTGATGCTGCGGCTGTTGCTGCTGCTGTTGCTGCGGCTGTTGCTGCTGCTGCAACTGCTTCTGCAGCGGCTACTACTCTTGCTGATGCAGTTGCTGCTATTGTTGCTACTGCTGCTGCTGCTGCTGTTGTCGTTGCAGCTGCAGAGACGAAGGCTCAACTACATCTGCTAGCTGCTAGAAGTATGCGTTATTAATATTACCGCTACTGCTGCTGCTGCCGCTGCTGCTGCTGCTGCTGCTGCTGCTGCTGTTGCTGCTGCAGTTATTATATACCCACTCTTGTGCACCCAACAGTTGAGAACAGAGCAGAAAAAACAGAAAAACAAAAACTTGCGAAGGGTAGATATCATCCATATTTACAGCGCATGCGTGCAGCCCCAGCTGCGAGCTGTCTGCTGCTGCTGTTGCTGCTGCTGCTGCTGCTGCAATTGCTGCTGCAGCAGCAGAAGGAAAAGAAGCTCTGCGTGTTGTTTATGAGCTGCTGCTGCCTATTTCTTTTAGTAGAGTGGGAGTTTCCTTCTGAAGATACAGGTTAAGTGCTCCAGCCAGCTTAAAACCTGCTGCTGCTGCTGCTGCTGCTGCTGTTGCTGTTGCTGCTGCTGCTTATTCCTTCGTTTTTTTTTGCTCTTGTTGAGGCTGCATACAGCTCTTGCTGTCCTTTTCGCATTAGAGGGCAGCCTCTGTTAGGCCGCTGCACTAGCTAGAGCCGCTGCAGCAGCAGCAGGAGCAGCAGCAACAGCAGCAACTGCAGCTGCAGCAGCAGCAGCAGTTTCTGGGGCTTAGCTGTGCCTTCTTCTTCTCCTGGTCTCCCTAAGATG